GATGTGGTGACCAAGGATGGAGCTTATGTCTAAACTGAGGGCCTAAGCCAATGTTTCTCAACCTCGGCCACTTTAAGATGGGTGGACATCAACTCCAAGAATTCCCCAGCCAGCCGTGCTGGCTGGGGAATTCTGGGAGTTGACGTCCACCCATCTTAAAGTGGCCAAGGTTGAGAAACACTGGTCTAAGCAGTTCTTTCCAACTCTGAAAAAGCCTCTCTTGTTTTTCCATTTCTCAACCTAATTCTGTAACTCTGCCATATCCCCCCCCCCAGAAATAATTCCATATGGGTAGGTAATGCAGCCGCGTGACCCCCCCCCAACCTACTGCCGAGAGGTCTTTTTGGTGGGGTTGAGGCTGCAAGCTGCAAAATTCTCGGCGTTGACTGGGTGCTCGCCCGCTGCTTTTGTGGCATGCATTTTGCATTGGGGCTGCTGTTTGGTGCAGAGATTAGGGAAAAAAGGCCCCCTGCATGTCAGCCAGGCAATGAAGGGGCTGCAGGTTTGCTAAGCTGCCTAATTTATACTTACTCCCAGCTCTTAATTGTTACGGATTAAGGAACACAGAGGTGTGCTTATGAGACCATTTTTCCTCTCTGACTGATGATCTTAACTTCCTCCTCTTGTGGCAGAATCTTGCAGTCAGAGCTAGCTCCCAAACAGAGTCCGGCGTTGCGTTAAGATGTTTCTTAGCCAAAGCTGCTCTAGGCTAGAGAGAAACTGAGATTTGTAGCTGGTAGCGGCAGCCCCGCGCTGTAATTCCTTTATGGTTTGTTTATGACTTGCACGGATATCACGCCACAATCCAGATTGACTCCTGGTGGCTGCAAATTGCCTTTGCCCAGGGTGGAACTGGGGAGGGTTAGTTATAGCTGCTGGTTCATTTGGCTCTGTTGAGTGCTGAACTGTGGGAAGTCGGGAAGCATCTGATCCTCATGTATACGGACGTGCGCGCGCCCACGTGGATGATCACAGAAAGTGATTGGCTTTAATGGCTGGATTTTCTGTCCTCCCAGCAGTCACAGAATTGTGGAGTTGAAAGGGATCATAAAGATCACCTAGTCCAACCCTCTGCAATGTGCAGGAAAACTCTTTAAACCATTTTTGAGAAGCGGCTGTCCAGCCTCTTCTTAAACACTGGGGAAACAATTGTCTGTTTATTTGTTCCCCATCAGGCTTTGGGAGAATCCCTTGTACTACCCAACATGGTCTCAACATGGATGATCCCATTGCTTGTCTGGAGATAGCCGTCCAAGAACATGAACCTCTACAAATATGGCTTGAATGTCAGCTGGTTTATTGTTTATTTATTCATACCTGTCTTCCCTAAAGGGTCCTTGCAGGCTTGAAAGCTTGCAACTAATTTTTAATCCTTCAGTTGAGCCAGTGAAGAAGGTGTTGTCTCCAATTGGACCTTAGGTTTTTTTTCTGATGGACAACAAGACTGCTGATGTTTTGAGCAGAAAGTAAAGGGTCTTGGATCCTCTCCGGTGACTTTCATTGTATTTGGAAAGAACTCTGTCCTATCTTGGTCTTTTCTGTTGCCTATCAAGGATCTTCAGTCCACAACCATGCATTCACTAGATCTGTGAGTTTTTAGGATTTCTAATGATGAGGAATTCTGGGAGTTGAAGGCCACATAACTGGAGGATCCCCAGGTTAGGTAAAGCTGATATTCACTCTGGATCAGGTTGGATCAACAAGTTCATGTGTAGTTTCTCCTTTGATACCACTTTCTCTGTTCTGTTCCACATTGGCAGAATTGACCAGTACTGTTTCTATTCACATTTGTTTCCTGAGCAGATATAAGGCAAATCTTAGTCTTCCCACACATCAGGCTCATGAAACTATCTTAAGAATGGCGTACTCTGAACCTTCCATTTCTGCCATAACTCATTAAAAGCATAGTCATTAAGAATGTTTGAATTTTTGTTACAGCTTAAACAGAAAATGAAGTTAGAGGCAGAGTTGTGCCATAAGCGGTACATCATGCTCAGCAGAACTATCACAATGCATGTCATTGGGGAATTCTGGGAAATATTAATTAGCTAGCAAGAGCATTGAGGTCTTGCGTTCATGAAGGTCAGTTCTTTTGGGGAGAACCTTTTCTGCTAATCCAGGACTTTGGTCATATGGACCATCATCCTCTGCCCTCTGCACTTGGATGGATTTGCCTGCTGTGGCAGGTCCTTTTGGAGCAAAATGAGAGAGAAAGGACATTTGTGGTGAGGAACACAACTCTGGCTTTTGCAACTGATCAGTGACAGGTTGGACAGAAGACCCTCCCAGCCACTTGGGAGTTGCAGAAATACAGAGAAGAAAAATGCAATTGCTGTTGAAGAGGCACACGTTCTTTATTCTGTCAACCAACATACTTTGGACTGAATCAGTCCTTCACAGCTCCAGCTTATAGCATTTCTTCAATAGCAGTTGAATTTCTTCCCCACCCATCCTCCTACTTCTTTTTGTGCTAGGTTTCTTGAGTTCCTTCTTGCCTGGATAGATTTGAGGTCCTACCAAGATACAGAGGAGAGAAAGCTGTGAGTTCCCCATTCAGCCTGTTGGTGCTCCTTAGCGCTGAAATAAATCTGGAATCCTACACAAGTTTCTAAGCAAAGCTTTTGGAAACTAACCCTTGTCTTCTGGTTGAAAGAAACACAGCTACAGGATCCTACTGTGGCAAGGTTAGCAAGTCTGAGACGAATGAAATGCAAAATCTTTTAGGTCTCTCTATCAGTGTTAATGCAACTGATGGCTTCGTTTACCCATAAAAGTAAATTCTGAAGAGGGTGAATCACGTAATTTTGTGGTCTTGAATGGATGCCTCCTAATCTGTGAAGACTGGCCATTTCCCTACTATGGAGTTAAGATGCCCTTGGCACTCTTGGTTTGACACAGAATTGGCTGTGCACATCGCCCATTCCTCATGGAGAAAGTCTACCTATGTGGTCGGTCGCTAAGAGTTGACAAGGACGATGGCACGTAATCAATCACCCGTTCCTCTGCTGCCTCTCTTGCTTCCGGTCCGACTCAGTCCTGAATGGGGTTGTTCTGACCAACAAGGAGCTGGTTTCTCCCTTGACTCCCCTTCCACCCATCATCCCCAGCCAGTGGGGAGAGCAGCCACCCCTCCAGGCAGGGCGGCCGGAACAGAGCGGCCACTTCCGGGGCTCTGCCTGGGCTTCTCTAGGCTGGTGGGTCTGCCCCACTCCCACCCCCTCTTTGGGCCTCCCCAGAGCTTAAAAG